AAAGGTAGGTAGAACCGAAAAACGAAATCAAATATAAAGCTACCTTTCTTAGGCATGGAAACTTTTCTTTGCAAATCAGTTTCCAAAAATCTGTACTACCAGATGCTCTAGCTTTCAAAAATATGTCGCTTCTCATTTTAATTATTTATTCTTCGACCACAACAGATTCAGCATCGGTTAAGTTGCCGATTTTAACGGTCAATCTGTCAATGTCAATATTTTCATTAAAAGGGAATACCATGAAACTTAGCACTTCTTCGAGAGCGGCAAAATCCGCGAACCTTCTTTCGAACTCGAGGTGCAAATTCTCCAGCTGTTTACAGAAAGTTTTAGTCCCGATTTGAATTGTGCGTACATTCTTCTTCCATGTTTTTATAATTTTTTAGTTCGCCTCGTTTTAATTGAGATACTTGCACTTGAATTTGACTTTTAAAAGTATTAATCAATGTTATCATGTCAATGACGGTTCTGTCTTTCCCTTGAAGATTCAGATTCAACTCATTGAGTTTTTCTGTTATGTCGCAAAGAAACGCCAGCTTCATAAGCCATTTTTCATCTTCAAGCTCAGGTACAATTTCTCCTTTCGATTGTATGAATGTCTTGATTTCTGGCAGTAATTGGCGATTTTTTTTTGAAAAAGACACCACGGCTAAGCCACCTAACATCTGTATGTAGCAAAAGGTCTGAGTGTTCGGCTTCAGTCTCTTCCAGAAGAGCTCGAAATTGACGCCTTTGCAAACTTCTGGCTCGAATAGAATTAACTATTTTAAAAGCAATTTTCATAATAACATCTGATTCGAGAATTTTAGAGCACAGAACTTGCTGGTGTATGATGCAGTGATAGTTGGTGAAACTTGGAATGTTGTCATCATTTTTGCACAATGAAACAAATCCAACTTTTTGTCCCAGCATAGCGGGTGCTCCATCTGTCGTGATAGCAACTAGTTTGTGAATCGAAAATTCTGCAAGTCTTCATTAAGTAATTGTTCCAAATTTTCACTTAAGGCTTCACTGCGTCGCATTACTGTGTTTCGTGACAGTGAAATGTCATTTAATGCTGAAATAATTTCTTTTTTGTTTTTAAAGTCATTAAAAAGTGCTTCTCCAGCTCTCTGCATGGCTTCCTTGATCATTTCTCCATCTTCGAAAGGTTTCTTATGTTTTATCAATATTTCTGTAACAGCAAATGACGCCAGTGTTGCAGCTTTTGATTTCGAGTCTGGTTTCGTAAAAAAAGATTGTTGTGCACTTAAGCTGCTTTTTAATTCACGTACTTTTATCTTTCGGTTTTCACTGCCAAATGGAAAATCGGTGGCGTATTTGGAATGTGTAGTTTTAAAATGCCTTTCAACATTTGCTCTTTTCGGTAATGCTACACTTGAGTTGCAAATTAGACACACACATTTGTCCTTGACCATAACGAAAAAAAATTCTTCTTCCCACTCACTGTGATAATGGTAAGTCTTACTTTTTTTTGCACTCGAAGTAGGTGGCCCACTCATTCTGATTTAATAATACTAATTAAAAAACACTAAGTCACAAGGTCCCTACGTTAATTTTTTACTATCGCGACGCAACAAATTAATTGTAATTCGTTCGCACTCAAGTCGAAACTAGCACTGGCTAGCTATCAAACCAAGCCGTGAGAAAACAATGCGAAATGAAAAGAAAAGAGACAGCGGTGAGTCGCGTTTACATGACTGACTCACACATACGCACGCAACGATATCACGTTACGACCGAAGCGTGTGAGTAGTACCTATAGTCAGTTCTTGGCGCGAATACATTTTAAAATAAATAATGTTATTTTTTCATATTTTGTCTATTTAGTTTATTTAACTCTCGCGGGCTACCTAAATCGCCCTCGCGGTCAATCGGTAGATCGCGGTCGACCTCTTGGCCATCCCTGGTCTATAAGATGGTTGGAAAATGAGAAAAACCAGTATGAATACAAATTTCTTTGTGAGATATAAAGGACCTGTTTTTTCTTTTTCACCTTTAATTCATAAATTCACACATGGCTACCCCAAGTTTAAATAAATATTTTAGCTTAGTATTTTTTGTTACGTTGTAGTTTTGCCTAAATACAGTATGTCCCCCTAGGTTGAATCATATGAAAAACTTTTTTATTATTAATTTTAGGAAAAAAGTTATTCTCCATAAAAAGTTCTGCATTATCTAAAACCTAGAATACAGTCATCAAATGTCAAATTTTTTCAGTTGTATACTAGGTTTGTCAAAAAATATGAGTTTTACTTAAGAGTAAAGTACCTTTATTCTTTATACGACTGATAAAATTTGATATTTGATGGTTGTATTTTAGGTTTTAGACCATGCTTGACTTTTTATAAAGAATAACTTTTTTCCTAAAATTAATAATAAAAAAGATTTTCATATGCCGCCAATTTACGTAGACAGTTCGAAATTGCTTTAGTGTTTTCTTATGTAACTCGCACTGGGTTACCAGTAGGAGTCGTCAAAGTACAGTTTTTAAAAAAGTTTTTTTTTTTCAATTTTTTCGAGCAAATCGCTAAAAGTAGGGAGAAAAAAGTGCCGACTCATAAAAAAAAAGTTGTCTGACCAATATTTAACGAATTTACGCCATTTTTATACCTAAAAACATAAGAAATTGATAAATACTAACTCATGCTATTTAGATTAATTTTTCCTATTGATTACCATTATATTTTCCTACACTAAGAACTTTTTTAGAATTATTATGATTTCTCACTCATAATGAATATAATTTCGAAGAGCATAAAATTTTCCACAAAGTCCAAAAGCATTAGAAATTTAAAAAAGAAAAAAAATTTACATGCATTTTAAATGGTAAAACTAAATGAAAATAGTAAGTACTTAAAATTGATATTAAGAGCTTGGTAAGAATTTCTTTTTCTATATGTAGATTAATATTTTGCTTGAGCACCGAAAAAAAAACAAAATTTTTCGGAAATGAGCCCCCTAATCTACATACAAATCATAATTCAATGTATGTGTCACTATCTTCAGTCGAAGTTTCAGTAACAATGTTGGATACAGGTAGATTGTGATAATAATGGTGAAATTCATCAGGATTATCTGATTTTGCAAAATTTTAGTAAATCTTTCTTCTTGCCCTTTTTTGTATTTTCAAAACTTTGTTTCATCCTTTCATGCTGCATCCCTCTGAATAAATACTGTGCGAGTTTGGCATATAAAGCCGAATTCCCCACCCTTGCCCATTGATAAAATAAATCTATTTTTCTGGTGGAATGTATTTAGGATAGCTGAATCTTTCGATACTTTGTCTATTAGAAAGAATGGTTAAAATTCATATTCGCTTGTTACCACTAATACTTTTATTTACGAATTTTCACATAAATATTCGCTCGTTACGGCTTGACGAATCACTCGTTACAGCTTGACCAATCACTCGTTCACCACGGAGATTCGAGCATCATGTGTTATTATCTAGTGGTTGTTTAAAATTAGATGTATCGCGGAAAGAAAGGGTGACGTAATCATCTTGTAGATTTCGTTACAATCGAGAAAGGCCAGGGAAGGCTCTAGTCATAACAAAACAAATGGCGCGGGCACAATGTTGTAATCTTTCAACAAACACATTCAACAAAAATAAGTAGTAACTCCCGAAATACTGGTACGTTTTCACTGGAAATCACCGAAATCACTACACATTTTCTCGAAAATTTCAAAAGCATCATCTACAATCATGGTCGAAATCAATTCGTCGCTCACAACCCGAAATGGCGAGAAAAAAGATCATCGTATAAAATTAAGATGGATTTTCAGTAAAATCACCTAAATTACATAAAAAAAATTTAAGTGATTTCCGAAATACATGTACATGTTGACCTTATTGGTTTCCTCTCGGTTCTGGCCTTTATCTTGTGATAAGAAAACTATTAAGAATCGGACTAAATATATTTAGAAAAAATAAGTTATATGCCTATTAACTGGTTTTGGTAGACATATTTATTAATTGAACACAATGTTATGATTATATTTTGGTATAAATGTCACTCCATCTTATTTGTCCATATTGTTAATATATTAACATGGAGTTTTTATTGGATATCTGTTTATCATGAATATAGACTTCTTTCACACTTGTAGAAAGTGTACCTACTTAACTCGAAAATTCCAAAAGTGAAGCTATCTTGTTTTTGCAGTAACCCCACAAAATTTCAAACGTTTATTTAAAAATTGGCATGCTATTTACCGCTGCGACCAATAATACTGTTGCGGGCCACAAAAAAAGCTTGGAGGGCCGCAGGTTAAGTATGGCTGGTCTAAAACCTAAAATACAACCATCAAATATCAAATTTTATCAGTCGTATAAAGAATACTTTACTCTTGAGTAAAACTCATATTTTTTGACAAACCTCGTATACCACTGAAAAAATTTAATATTTGATGACTGTATTCTAGGTTTTAGATAATGCAAAACTTTTTATGAGGAATAACTTTTTTTCCTAAAATCAATATTAAAAAATTTTTCCATATGATTCCAACCTAGGGGGCATACTGCATATTTAAAACATATTTTTTTTCTAAAATACACACACAGATTTAGTCGATTTGGTCAATATTTTCATGCTGCACAGGGCATTTTTTTAAGTTTGGGTGTCATCGCGCTTGCGCAACATTAAGAAATTTTGTTTGTTCCATTTTTTTTACTCATTTATGCACATTTTGAGAACTTAGGACATCAAAATAGAAAATAGTTAAATTTTTCTATATACAAATTTTCCACTCTAATTTTTTAGTAAGTTTAAGTAAGCTTTGAAGACGTAATCAACATGAGCATCGAAAAGTTGTCAGCTCAATCCATTATTTATTGTCAGGTACCGCCATAACTAAATTAGTCCTCTACCAAGTAACTTCAACTCATCCATTTGTTAAACCTCTAAAAATAATCAACAAGGGACTTTCATGTTTCCGCTTCCTTGAGGTGCATTTTAACTCGTGCTGTTGCTCGCCATAACGGTGAAACTAGCAAGTTGCATAATCGATTTTACCGAAGGCGCCCGACCCTGATGGTCCACGTACACGTCCCACATTGCCGTCACGACGCTTATTGCGCAATACCCCATTGATTCCGGACTAACACAACCTACAATTTTCCCTTGTCACACTGTGTCAGACCCTTGGGGTAAGTACTCACCTTTTAATATTTTTGATGATATTGTAAGGTAGATTATCGTTTTTTTTTGCTAAAAGTGGCGGCTAAATGAACCGGTGATTTGATAGATTTTATTGTTAGCCATATATTTGTTCCATGCATAGTGACGTGGCGGCTTTTTAGCATGTTATACAGCGTAAGAACGTTTGACATTTTGATCTGTTGCTTCCTGGATAAAATATATTTACCTAATTAGATAAATAATTATTTTGTGAACTTCTAGAGATCGACAGACGGTTAGATGTTATTGATGGCAATTAAGTTGAAATAAACTACTCAAAAAGAAAAAAAAGACAATTTTGAAAAAGGGGATATATTATTAATGAAACATCTTGCAATAAATATTAGAAATATTAGAGTTTTCTCTAAAAATATAGCACATTTTGTTGTAATCTGTTTGTTGAGCTGACACGTTACTTTATGTTAATTAATGGCACAAAACAATTATCAAGAAAGAAAAGCCTTTTTTAGTTTTGAGTAGTTCATAAGAAAGAACTAAAGATATTTTTGACAAAAAACGTTTTCAAGTTGTTTTATCAGTAAAAGTTCCATGAATAAAAATAAATGTTAAAAATAAATGTTTCTGTTAACTTTATTAAATAAAAAAGTTATGGAAAGTATCTAAAAAAGTAAAAAAAAATCACATAATACAGAACTATTAATCGGCAAATATAACAAAGTGTTATGAAAAATGTTAATAATAATTTTTTTAAACTTATTACCGCTGAAAAACAGCAAAAATTTGATTTAGCGCGTCATCGGGCTTTCTCTTACCCATCTTATACATTGAGTTGGAAGTGAGATAGAAGTACTTCTCTCTAAAAGTACACGCGCGTAAGAAGCATATTGTTATAACGTAAAAAAAAACAACAACAAACAAAATTTTGAAAATTTATTTAGGTAATTTTGTTTATTATAGTTTGAATATTCGGTAAAAAATTTAAGATTATAGCATTTTAAATTTTAAGGTATATTATTTAATTCAAGAAAATTAGAATTTTCGTCAATTTTGGATTTTATAAAATTCATAACAATTAAAGGGTTGAAGATACGATGATAAGCGTAAGGACTTTTTTTATTCGAAATATCCTAAAGAATATATAAAAAAAAAATTAATTCACTGCAAAAAATGCATTTTTTCTGGCTTAATTAATTTTTCGTTGTTTAAACAATAACATCAACAGATATCGAGTGTCATCTTACACTTTTATAATCAGGAAAGCCTTCCGGACATTTAAAAAAAATTACGAATTAAAACAATTTTCGAAACGAATGCGCCAGTATGCTCTGGTCTAAAAAGGAAGTCTCCTTTTCTAAAGTTTTTTTATTCTTACACTATGATTTATATTTTTTTTTCTTTGTAGTTCTTGGGTTTTTAGGTGCTAGTGAGAAATAAAACTCGTGTATGTGTGGGTAAAGCTTTCTGCACTGATCAGTGCCTTCTTCCGTAGTTTTTTTTTAATTTGTAAATTATTATTTTTTTGGCATCAAATCATTGTTTTTTTTAAAAACCTCAAAAGCAGTTCTACAAGAAAAAATTGTTTTTTTTTATACTTAACATTTAATTTTTTTAATTATGTTTTGTTTTTGGCTTACTTTAGTACAAAGTTGGGGAGTGTCGTTATAATTATTAAAATAGTTTTTTAATTATTGTTATTATATATTTATTTCCACTATCCTTGTCATGTCCGTTGATATGGTGTTTTAATGTCCGTTCAAGTGTATGGGTGTTAGCACCCTCTTTTTTTCTCTTACGGGCCCTCATAGAGGTCCGGATTAAAAATATTTAATTTGGTTTTTTAAAACGTTTTCGTTTTTGGTCGATAAACTCGCTCAGAATGTTTAATACTGACATACGATATACGAGTAAAAGACGATAAATAAAAATCTTAAGCAATTGAATGTGTTATTTTAGGAAAGTCATTTGTCACAAAACACTAGTTTTGGTAAACTCAAAAAAACAGTATCATTTCCAAAAAAGCTTAAAGAAAAATTTCAAAACAAATCAGATGCATACATATATGTATTAGAAATGTTTTAGTAAGCTTGGAATAGAAAAACATTTTTATATGACTACAGGGTTGTCCATAATATTTTTTGGACAAATGACGTTTCTACAATAAACATGAAGGATTTCAAAAATAAAATGTGCAAATTACTTTAAACATGTATTTTATATGTTGAACTCAAGAGTATAATCATTAACCTTCATCTTCTTCAGTGGTAGTAGGCCAGCTGCGTAGATCCTCGTAAAAATCTAGGTATTGGGAAGGTATATACTTGATCAATTTCTCGATGTCCCGTTTTTTTTTCACATTAAGTGGCACCTTGCCATTATAAGCTGGCTCATTCGGCAATTCAACAGCCTCCATGCTTCCCTAGACTGAAAGTGTGATTGTCAAGACCATCGATAAAGCCCCAACATTTTATTACTCCTGGGGCACCAGCAGACATACGAAAATGGTGATACTTCGAGATTAAAAATGAAACTTTGTTTTCCTTAGGAACATGTCTCCCTTTTGTTTCATCTGATAGTGTTTTCTTCCTGTAATGCAGTGGCCACCATTGTTTATAATCTTTAATATCCTCTGTGGAAACCATTGTTACCATAGCCTTTTTTGGTGTCTTGGTTGCATTTGCGATTTGTTTAACGTATTGCTTGGGAACGTATACTCTATCAAGCCATTTTATTCGTCTCTTCAGGGTGCCAAAATTTCTGTCATTTGGCATGAAAGAATGACCACGGATGGGCGTGTAGTAGTTGATAGTCTCAAACCTCTTTGTTTGAACCAATGCACACAAGAATCTCAGTAAAGTGTGGTTCCGATTCTGGCCACCACATGCATCGGAGAAAAGATGAAGGTGTCGCACTTGGGGAGGTAGCTCGTTTTGAACATACATATTAAGCATTGTACATGCTTCGTCTGGACCTTTTTTGGCTTGGCCTTCATGATAAACGTAATACATTGAGTTACCAGCGCTGATATTATGAATATTAAAGACGTTAACCCAGAGTTGCCGATAATAGAACACCTCTTGTACGGGGATGTGAGGAAGGGGAAGATTTTGCATAAAATCCATAGATATCCCTGCAGTGTCATCCCTACCCAGAGATTCCATAGATTTCATTTTGGAGTAAAACTTTCTTGATCTCCTTTTATGTACCTCTAATTCAGCCTCAGCCACCCTCTTGGCATGTGGGTTGAGTTCGTTACTGTTCTTTTTTGTTATCAGCTCTTCACATTTTGAACAGGTGTCTTTTTGAGGCCTTCCAAACCTCAAGTCAAAGTGCTGTCTGAAAAACTTTTGGTAATAAAAGTAGGAAACTCTCGAGTCTGGGTGCTCTTCTTTAAACAGCTCATACATTGCTTTTATAATGAGCTCTGCACTTAGATACTTGACCTCCGAGTTTGAGTAGCGTGCAGTTTTTGTGGGGAATTTATTTATATGCGCCCTGATTTCTTGGCAGTCTGACTCAGGCATCTTATATCGATTGTCTTGTTGACCTCTCATATCTTTTGGGATATTCCCCTGCTGCAGCAGTGAAGTCAGACGTCGGAGTCTTTTCTCTGTTATGCCGAATAAACTGATAAAAGCTTTTTTGCAAACCTTTTTTTCGTTTACATAATAGAGGAATACAGCTGACCGAACAAACACATTTTTTCTTGATCTCTGGCGCTTCACAGGCTCCAATTTGACTCTGCTTTGCAGGTAGACATCCTGAGCATCTTTACTCGATAGTTTGGAGAAATTTTCGATGAGAGATGTCTTTTGATCATCTGTGAATTTTTCAGTGCATTTCCAACGACATCTGGAACAAATAGAAAAAACTAATAAGTGATTAGATTCCACAGGTTTATATTAAATTTTAACAAGATTATTAGTTTTTTCTATTATAACTAGAGAACAAAATAAATCGTATATTACCTGCAATCACCTCCATACTGGCGAGCTGGAACTTCGTTACCAACACTGTTTACATACGAAGCACCTTCCAGTCTAGCTTTCTTGATTCTTACCCATTTGTAACTGTTCGCATTTCTCACTCCTTTTTTTCTTTTTTTTTGTTGATTTTCTGGATCATTCATTTTTTCTTAAATAAACCGAATGAATATTATTTAAAGCACGTTTACAACTCAACAACCTGTTGTCTACTAAGAAATCAACGAAATAGATAAAAAACAAACTATCAACATTGTCCCATCTCCTTCTATCGTTGCCACCTTCTAACCGTTTGTTCTTATCAAAGTGGGGGCACTTTTGACGCGTTTATTATAGTAAGGTCATATGTCCCGGACAACCCACGTTTCTTAAATAAAACTGTCGAAGGCCACATCTTTCAGCGTGAATAAAAACCTCGTAGATGCCTGAATATGTGCCGTTTCTACTATCAACATGTAAAGATAATGACATTTGATGGATTTTTCAACAAAAATATTTTTCGCTATATTGGACAACTGACCTTCCTAAAATAACACATTCAATTGTAATGAATAAAAAATTCATATTGATTTGAAAGCATCATCATATTGATGCTTTCAACTCTTCATTTTTCTTTTTACTTTCCTATCTGTATACAGATAAGGAATCATGATTTTTTTCGATCTCGAGTTTTCGACAGTTTTTTACGTTTTGGAGTCCCCTGAATCCGTGCGTGCGTGCGTGCGTGGGTGTGTGTGTGTGTGTGTGCGTGTGCGTGTGCGTGTGCGTGTGGGTGTGTGTGTGTGTGTGTGTGTGTGTGTGTGTGTGTGTGTGTGTGTGTGTGTGTGTGTGTGTGTGTGTGTGTGTGTGTGTGTGTGTGTGTGTGTGTGTGTGTGTGTGTGTGTGTGTGTGTGTGTGTGTGTGTGTGTGTGTGTGTGTGTGTGTGTGTGTGTGTGTGTGTGTGTGTGTGTGTGTGTGTGTGTGTGTGTGTGTGTGTGTGTGTGTGTGTGTGTGTGTGTGTGTGTGTGTGTGTGTGTGTGTGTGTGTGT